TTCTCAACATCGATGTTTCTCTCTCCCTCCCTCCCTTCCTCTCTGAAATCAATAAAAAGAAAGGAAGGAAGGAAGGAAGGAAGGAAGGAAGGAAGGAAGGAAGTTAGAAGGAAGGAAGGAAGTTGAAAGGAAGGAAGGAAGTTGGAAGGGAGGGAGGGAGGGGGACTCCAGTACTCACCACCAGCTCTGCCCCGCCAGTGCTGTTGGAGAAGAGCCTGTAGAGACTGACAATGCCATTGGGCTTCCCAGGGGCACTGATGTTGACCACAGCTTGGGTAGAAGACACGGCGTGGAACCTGGGGGCCCCGAGACCTTCTGGGGGGGCAGGTCCCGTTCTACACCGCGTCCAGCTACTGGGGGCTTTCCCTGCTGAATTCACTGCCCAGACCTTCAAAGAGAAATCATTGGGACCAGTCAACAGCAAGATAACCTCAGGCTGAAAGAACACAGTTGGCAACCCATAGCAACCGAACACAACGGAACGAGATACACTTGGATCTTGCAACTCTGTGACCGCAAAGGAGTTTGGGTCCTTCCTCTTTGTTTTGCCTTTGCCCCTGAGAACACAGAGGGGCTCGCTGGGGAGCCCTGATTTCCGACTGCAGTGGCTGATTTGAGCTCGATGGAAAACTGCTCATCTTTGGGCGGGAGGTGGCGGGATTTTTGTCAGCTTCTGCAAACTGGACGGCTCTGCAGACTCCTTAAAACTCAGCAATTCTTAAACACTGTCCCCACCAAATCTGCATGGAAATTAGATTTTCCTTTCATCAAGGAGGGAATCAACATATGGAAGGATGTATAATCTTATTTATCAAGAACTATTTGTATAATTAAGCACGAATATCCTAAAAGGTTGCCTTGGGTCATCATTTGCATGAGTAAGTAATTTGTAGAATGTCAGGTACAATAGACAGAGTAGATGGATGTGTGAGTGTATAGGGTTAAATTAGGCCCAATAACAGCCAACTACACAGTGATCAATCAGAATGATAGATCTAAATGACAATACAAGAAGACTGTCTGCGTGTTTAGGAGTACCAGTATTCCTTAGTAAGCTTTCATCTTGAGCAGTCTAACTTCAGGAATTTTTTTTTCTCATTTGGTGTCTTTTTTCCCTTTATCTATCTATCTATCTATCTATCTATCTATCTATCTATCATCTACCTACCTATCCACCCATCCACCTGCCTACCCATTCATCCATTCATCCACCCGCCCACTTATCCATCCAAACTTGCCCTGAGCTTTTAAAGACCCATCTGGAAAGCTGGTTTGATTCTACAGTCCACACTTTCTAGGTGTGCTGTGTCAAAAAAACAAACAAACACATGCCGAACTTTCAAAATCTGAGGCATTTAGAAAAAAAAAAAAAACCTGTAGGAGAGTACTTTGCATGGAGAATTTAGTTTTGTTTTGCTTTGGCATCAATAATATCTTCAAGAGAATACACATTGGAGAGGTTTTTAGGAGTTCCCAAGAGTGTTTCCACACATTTTTAAGGAGGTGGATTCCTTTGCAAAAGTAAAACTCCTGATGTCGAAATGTTCTTGGGTGGCTGTCACATGCAATGCTGCAGCCCCTCGCTGACGGGGTGACTAACCTACTTACACATCCGAACTTGCTCTTTTCAGAGTTCTGATACAGTCTCTCATCATTTGCACGATCATTACCTACATTTTATACACTCTACAATTTACAACGCACTTGGACATACGCTAGCTGACTTAGCCCTCCCAACAGAACCGTGTAGGGTGGTTGGGTAATGTATCATTAGCCCATTTTACAGGTGAGGAAATTGAGGTTCTCTTGTTCAAAGTGACAGAAGTTACAAGAGCTGAAACTAGAATTCTGCTCTCCAATAAACACTTTTATCGCTCTTTCCAATCTATTGTGTGTTTGATTCTGTATGTCATCCACATGCATAAGTGAATTACGTGCAATCAAGGAAGTTAAATCACTGCTCCACAGACAAACACCTGTGATTCTGGATTAAAATCTCTTAACTGGCAAGGATGGAGAGATGTGCCTAGGTTGTATTAGAGGACGGAGGTTTGAAAGGCACAGAGAAAGAAACCCAGCAATGGGAGAGCCAGGCCTCCTGGAAACCCAAGTCCAGGTCAAGACACCACTGTAATGCCCAGCTGGTGTGGCTCAGTGCTTGAGCTTTGACCTATGAACCAAGAGGTCACAGTTGATTCTCATAGCTTTGACCTATGAACCAGGAGGTCACAGTCGATTCTCGGTCCCATGTGGGGGTTGTGGGCTCCATCCCCAGTGGGGGGCATGCAGGAAGCAGCTGACCAATGATTCTCTCACATCATTGATGTTTCTATCTCTCTCTCCCTCTCCCTTCCTCTCTGAAATCAATAATAATATATTAGAAAAAAGAAAAGAAAAACCACTGCAGCTGCTTTTACAATCCCTTCTGAATGGGCCAAGGTCAGTCTGAGAGGGGAAGTTAGGGAGGAGGTCAGAGTTCAGGGCTGATAAGAAAGTCCCTGACTGCTCAGTCTGCTCCAGACCAACCCCTTTCACTGCAAATACCTTCCTATGGGTGGGGCGAGGGGCATTTTTATTACACAAGGAGTGAAAAAAAAACTTTTAAAGAATATATGTAAAATAAGGAGCATATACTGATATCAACTTCTTTGCTAAGAATAGGGCTTTGGCTGGTGATCTAAGGGCACACAGAACTTTAGCGGGGGTCGCAATGGCTGGGGAAAACAGGAGGAGAATAGAGCAGGTGTAATAAAATAAAGCATCAGCGAGTTGTCCATTGGTTACTGGGCACCGATAAGAGAGAGCAGACGTGAAGGTCTGAGGGGAAACGGGGATGACTCCTAGAAAGTGCTTAGCAGGGGGCTGCCCAGGCTTGGCTCACTCACTTTGCTTTCATTTTTGATGAAGATTTAGGGCCACAGAAACCAGGAGGACTTTGTGATCCTGGTGCTGCCAGAGGGGCTAACCCACATGGCTTCCTGAACTCTGACTGGGTGGGGTCCTACTTCCAAATGGGATTTAAGCCTTGGTATTTTAAAGCTACTTTGAGTCTCAACATGATCGTTTTGCTGTATTTCTTCAGAAATAGTCTCTTCTAAAAACTCGCCACCCCTAACTGGGAACGGGTGAAGGAGCTAGTGCTCACTGTGCTTTCATTTTTGATGAAGATTTAGGGCCACAGAAACCAGGAGGACTTTGTGATCCTGGTGCTGCCAGAGGGGCTAACCCACATGGCTTCCTGAACTCTGACTGGGTGGGGTCCTACTTCCAAATGGGATTTAAGCCTTGGTATTTTAAAGCTACTTTGAGTCTCAACATGATCGTTTTGCTATATTTCTTCAGAAATAGTCTCTTCTAAAAACTCCCCACCCCTAACTGGGACCGGATGAAGGAGCTAGTGCCTTTGTCTTTCAGGAGAGACCTTCATAATACAGTGCTCCCTCCCTGCCCCCCGAGCCCCAGTCTTTCTTTTCAGTATTCAATCAATTTGAGATCAAAATAGCATTCATATAAATCAACATGCGTATGCAAAGCAGGACCAGCTATTCACGGAGCCACTCTGAAAATGAAAGCAGTTACAAGGAGGGGAAAGCCGGCCGAGATAATGAGCATCACGGATTCCAGGAGACTTGAACCACAAGGCAGTGTTCCTGTTATACCAAACCCCCAGAGGGAAAGGAAAGGAGAGACTGACGGTGATATCTCCTCTGCCTTGCTCTGTTGCGGTGAAAGTCCTTCACCCAAAAGTTGCCATGGATTTTGGTCTCTTTCCAGCAAAACAAGGGATGAAGGGAGTGGAGTGTAGTTCAGGGTTCAGAATAAAAATGTGAACAGATTATGCTTATGATCTCTAAGGGGAAACAATGGCCTCAAGATTTGGGTCCATCTTTAGGGGGGAAAGAGAAGCAGAGATCTTGCATGGGAAATATTGAGCAATATGCCGGGATCTATTAACTTCAATGAACCAATACAAAAATCAAGAAATAAAATATCTTATGAACAAACAGAATTATCTACTTTCTCTCTCTCTCTCTCTCTCTCTCTCTCTCTCTCTCTCTCTCTTTCTATTCAATCTATGTATGTATGTATGTATGTATATACCTACCTACCTACCTCTTCACCATTTACCTAACCGACAAGCCATTCCTTTTGATTTGTACCTCCCATGATCCCTGGGAACATAAACACACTGGGTATGGGCTGCTCACAGGAAAAAAGGGACATGAATGGGGGAGGGAGGGTGAAATAAGGTTTACAAATTCCATGGCCAAGAGAAAAATGTACGGATGCTGCCCAGCTTAGATTACTTCGGAGTGTCCTTATACCTGCAGTACCCTGCCAAACATATTTGTTCTTTTATAATTAAAAAAAGATGATTAAAGTTTCCACTGAAACAACTTCCTGATTTGGGCTCAGCACACACTTGTACGCGTGAAGGTGTGCATACACACAAGCGCACAATGACAGCTGTCAGAGGTGGGGACCTCCCCGGGAAGGGCTGTAAAAGTGAGCAGGTCAGTGCCAGCTGGGTCAGGTGCTTTCTTCTCTCGGGTTTTGGTTGTAAACATGAAAAGAGGTACAATGTAAGATGTCACAGAAAACCCAGGCCCACCATAGGAATAAACAGGAAAGAACCGAAATCACTGAACCACAAATTCTATAACTAATAAAATATTAGGTTCACTTGTTTATATTTCTCTTTTTGATCTAAGTTTTAAAATATCTAAGTAGCGATTATTACCACCTTTATGCTATTGTCCATTAAAAAAACTTTTTCATTGACTCTTCCCTCCCGCAAGGACCAATTAACTGCATTTTGCCTTAACATTTTTAATTACATAACGTGTCAGCATCTGCTCTCTACACTATCTGGATCCAGCGGAGGTCTCTTTGATACACTATTTGCTTCCTAGTGGAATATGACAATTTTTGATAAAATAAGAAGCATTTGGACACCACCAAGAACACAGAAATATCAAGAAGCAGTAGGAGGCCACGTCACTGTTTAGAAAAACTGGAGCACGGGAATAAATTTTCCTGACAATTCACATCCAAAATAAATAAAAATCCTACACGCACAGCCATGCCCGTAATTAATAACTCGAGTAAATAGGTTGCATGTTAACAGGCAAACTATTAAATTATTCGTTTCCTGGGGGCATGTAACGAGACTGTTATCACATTCCCAGGAGGGAGACAAATAGATATTAAAAAGGTCTTTCCAATACCTGTATTGGCGAAGGCCAACAGCTAATTCAATAGATTCGATCAAAATCACCATTTCTTTCACTGCTCCTGATTTATGACCTGGGCTGTGGTTAGTCATCACTCACTGCAGTTTGCTCTCCAGCGCTCATAAATTATGCCTCATAAATAAAAAGATCCAATCAACGAAATCATATCAATTCATCTGCAACCTTGCAGTAGATTTTCCCAGGGCACTCATGCCAATGCCTTTTGAACGGGGAGCTTGTCTTGGCTTTGGAATATGTTCGAGGAGCAAAATGCCAAACGGGGCTTTGGCACAGCTGTGGTCAGAGGGACTCATGGCTAGCAGGAAGGCAGGGAGTCTGAACTCCCATGACTGCAAGATGGTTTAATTTCATAAGCAGTCCTGCGGGTGGGCTACAGTCAAGGGGTAACTTGTTGCAAAGCTCTATTTAACTGGCCACCTACCTCACGGGACTATTCTGATTTACATGCAATACATTTTCTATATATTTATGAAGAATTGGGTGGTTAAAAAAAAGAAAATTTATAAGTATTTTATGAAGACTTTTGAAAGCCCCAGAGTTGTATGCAAACGCAATTTGGAGCTACCATGGAGTGAATTTAAGCGAAGTCTTTGGAACCTGGATCTCAAGGTTCAAATTTGAGCTCTCCCACTCACCCACTGTCTCCTTGGGCGTGTTAACTCACCTCTTGAGTGTTCTGATTTCTAAGGTGCACTATTGGTAATAACCCTATCTCAATGGCTGTCATGAGTTCATACATGTAAAACTCTATCATAGTTCTCAGCACATAGCAAGCACTAGATAAGTAAAACTGGTTATTATATACTAGAGGCCTGGTGCACGAAAATTTGTGCACTTGGGGGGGTCTCCCTCAGCCCGGCCTGTGCCCTCTTGCAGTACAGATCCCCAGGGGATCAGGCCTAAACTGGCAGTCAGACATCCCTCTGACAGACCAGGAGCCCTCAGGGGATGGCCCACCCAGGCAAGGAGTGGGCCTAAGCTGTTAGTCGGACATCCTTAGTGCTGCCACGGAGGTGGGAGAGGCTCTTGCCACGGCCGCTGTGCTGTCCAGCCATGAGCCGGCTCTGGCTGAGGGGCACTTCCCCTGTGAGAGTGCACTTCCCCCTGGTGGTCAGTGCGCGTCACAGCAACCAGTCATTCCTGGTCGTTCTGCTGTTAGAGTCAATTTGCATATTACCCTTTTATTATATAGGAATTATCTGTTGGCAGAGTGTTGGAAGAGAGAGCGGGACTAAATAGCAATTCTGTGACTCTGGCTGCTATGAATCAACAAGAGCAAACTCTGCACAGCATTCTGGGTTCAGCCCACTTCTCTCTGTATACCTTCCTCGGGGGGCTCCTCCATTCTAGAACTTCAAGGATTAGGATAAACGGAAACCTGGCTTTTCAGAAATATTGTTTCTACATCAAAATTTGCTGACTGAATGGCATTCTCTACTTTGCCTTATTCATTAAATTTTTTCCAAACATCCAAAAGTATGAGCAGAAGCGAACCTTGGAGCAATTCAATGGCTCCTCAAAGAAAACAAAACTTATTTTCAGTTTCCATTACGGACATGGGCATCAAGGAGAGAACCGTGTAGCTTCCCAGACACTGACAGGCATCTGGGTAATGATCAGACCCATCGACAGATAGATAAGTCAATTTACAAGAAAAAGCCTCAGCCACTTTCTTAAAGATCTCAATTGAAGGCATCAGATTTACAAAAATGCATCAACACTTTTTGTTTCCACCTATAGATATGATTGCTTCATACAGACCTACACATTTATTGTGAACTGAATGGAAACGTACCCTGAGTCCCAGTAATGAAGTGCAATTCTCTTTAAGGCACCAGAGGGACCGCAGGCAATAGGGGCTTAGGAACAGAGCCCTAAGGGGCGCCAGGAGAGGCAGGAAAAGAGCGGAGAGGTGCACACACGTGTGAACCAGGGAGCTCACACGCACTAAGAAGAAACGATCTCCTGTTGGAATGGAAGGCGTGATGGCAAAAGCATGCCGTGGTCCCTGCCCAGGCGCAGAATTCAGATTTCTACTCATGGAAACGTCCGATGGCCTTCAGTCCAGGCGGGAGCACGGAGGCTCTGAAGTTTTAGGACAAATACGCTGCCTTGTGTCAGACAATATCAATCATTTAAAACCTGGAGCCGTGGGAGCTGGGGGCAGGCGCAGCTTCCTTCTTGCGGGATAAGCTAACCAAACAGAAGCCTCCAACGCTGGTCAGAAATACGTCCGTGAGACTAATACCTCATTACATGCGTGTCCAAAGCCAAACAAAAAACAGGCTCAATAGGTTTTGCCTAAATGGGACGCAGAGAACGCGCTGGAGAGGGGCAGGGTGAGGGGGGGCAGCCTTGGAGAACCAGCCCTTTGAAGCAAGTTGCTCATCACAGAAATGCAGACACATCCCAGGAGGGTGGAGGGCACGTGGCCACGTCACTGTCTTCCCGAGAAGGGCAGTGGCCAGGAGAGGGGCTGACCTGCCTCGCTGAGGGGCAGGAACGGTGAGATCCCCTTGTCCCCTTCGACCCTTACCTCCCTCCTCTCCTGCATAGGGCGCCCTTTGGGGGCAGATGGCCTGTGGGAAATCGGCTGTCCCGGGTGGGTTCCCACAGCACCCGCCCGCTGGGCAGACTCAGGAGAGCGAATCACGGGGTTGCCCCCCTCTTGACTGACTTGTCACTTCTCAGCCCCCACCTCCCTCCCCCAGGCACGAGGCACCAGGAGCCTTTGGGGACCCCACATGGGCGAGGGTGCTTATGGGTCCAAGGGGGCCCATTTCAGGAAAACTGATAAAGTCACGGTCGCCCTGATGCAATGGAAGGGGGTCCTGGCAGGTCCCCAGGAGCCGGTGGGGAGAGTGCGACTACGATGCAGGATTACTGAGCCCCCCCTCCCCCCAGGTAAGAACCACAGCTGCTTAGGGAGTGGGCTCACCCCCAGGCCCCCTCTGCAGCCAGGATATTATTTATCTCCCTAAGCCACAGGTTTCTCTCAGGGGCTTTTCAAAATGTGAGCACTTTGCAAAGGCAGGCGCCAATGTGCGCCTACAACCTTTATTTTAATTTATTTAAAAAGTATGTTGATTGATTGATTTCAGAGAGGAAGGGGCGGCGGGGGGGAGAGAGAAAGAAAGACAGAGAGAGAGAGAGAGAGAGACAAACATCAATGATGAGAGAGAATCACGGATTGGCTGCCTGCTGCATGCCCCCTACTGGGGACGTGGGAGTGGTTGATAATATGTGTTTCTTACCTGGTACTCATATTCCGTGAAAGGCAGGAGATTGGAATCCATAAAAGAGCTGGCGCTTCCATTATAGGTGAGAACTGGGCTCGGCGGCCCAGGCTGAGTTGCTACTTGTCTCCTGTACAACTCATAGGATAAAACTTGTCCATTTGGCCGAAGCGGTCCTGCCCACCAGAGAGAGACCGTGGGCTGGAACCCCCCGGGAGCCATCCGCACCTCCAGGCGTGGGGGCGGCTGCATGGCAGGGGCCATCTCGGGGGTCAGTACGGATGCCCAGTCACTGGACGCGCACCCCAGCAGGGTGCAGGCTTGAATCCGTGCTTCGTACCTTCAGGACACAAGGCAGAAATTACCCGTTATTGGCAAAATAGTTTTGGTGTTTTTTGGTTTTTTTTGAAGAATCTTTATTAAACCAAGAGTTGCCCAGGCGCTGTGGCTCAGTGGCTGAGTGTCGACCTGGGAACCAAGAGGTTACGGGTTTGATTCCTGGTCAGGGCACGCGCCTGGGTTGCAGACTTGATCCCAAGTAGGGGGCGTCCCAAGAGATCAATGATTCTCTTTCATCATTGATGTTTCTCTCTCTCCCACCCTCTCCCTTCCTCTCTAAAATAAATAAATAAATAAATAAATCAGTAAAAGTGAAAAAGAATAAAATAAAAAATACCAAGACTTTTTGGATAAAAAGGCCAGTAAGTTTATATTTATTCTTATTGATAGCTGACGCTTCTAAAAAATAACACAGTTGCCTGGCTGCTGTGGCTCAGTTGGTTGAGCATCTTCCCTGGGCACCAAAAGGTCATCAGCTCAATTCCCCAAAGGGGGCATGCAGGAGGCAGACTATCTGTTTCTCATCAATGTTTCTATCTCTCGCTCCCTCTCCCTTCCTCTCTCTCTAAAATAAAAAAGAAAGAAGCTACAAAGTCATATTTTCATAGAAATTCTAGAACAGCTGAAATCCTCCTAGCTTTCCAAAATAAAGCAGCTCACCCGTCTGGAAAGGGTGGGCACGTTGTTCCCTAAACAGGCGTGCGTGGGATAAATAACCGTTCAGGATTCTCTCCAGCACCCAAACCCTTTCCGTCTGCAGAATTACTGAGCCCAGCGATGAAGAAGGCAGACAGCTTCCAGCAGCCTTGGGCTCCCCGAACCCTGCAGCTGGGCCTCACAGACTCCCCAGGAGTGTCCCCAGGCCGCGAAGGAGCACCATGGAGGTAAGGCCTGCCTGGTCATAACCCCCCAACACCTGATACTTGACATTTTACAACAGGCTCCCTTGCAGCACGCTGAGGCCTTTCTGGGCCAGAGGTAACCCAGCCACACCCCGGATTATCCATCACGGAGACACCTTATCACCGTCCAGTTAAACTCAACCAATCAATTACGTTTTGTCTGGTCGCTGGTCTCCTGCCGCCTGCACAGGTCTATTTACATAGTAGGACTGCCCCCTTCCAACAAAAGGGGCTTCTGTGAGCAGTAGGTGCCCATGGCTGCAAATGCGTGCTTTGGGCTCGGTTCCTACACCCACCGACTTCAGGGCACCCCTACTTTTCCCTCCAGCACCTTTCCTTCTCCCTGATTTCCTCTGGTTACACAGATGGGGGGCTGGGTGTCACCCATGGTGGGCTCACACCACAGAAAGGACGGTGACTTGCTCTCACAGGCCCGAGGGAGCGACCCACCTGCGGAACGGCTGCAGCTGGTTTACCGCCAGGGTCCTGGTGCCAAACGAGTGATGACTCGCGTTGATGTGCACGATCCTGGTTTCTCCTTCAAGCAGCCCGCGGACGAAGAGGGTGTAGTTGACAATCTGGCCGTTCGTCCTCACGGGAGGGTCCCAGGCCACGGAGATCTCCTGGGGACCCCGGGCCTGTACTGTCGGAGGCCCCATCCCTGAGGGCGCTGCGGGGCTGGTTCGGTCTTTGACGAGGGGACTCACGGCGCCCCCCTGGCTGTTGTTGGCGGTCACCGTGTAGCCGTACTCCACCCCGGGGGTGAGCGTGAAGTCCTGGTAGCGCGTTTCCAAGCCGGTGTACACGATGGTCCCGTCCCTGCGAAGTTCGTAACTCCTGACCTGGCCGTTGGGGTGTCTGGGGGGCGTCCAGGTGACTTCTATGGATTCCGAGCCCGTGACTTGCAGTTCTGGGGGATCCATGTCCTGGGGCGGGGCCTCCAGGGTCCGGGCCCAGGTGGGCGCACTAGCTGTGCAGCCTCCGCGGGTGCAGGCCACGAGGGAGAAGCTGTACTGCGTGTAAGGCTGCAGGTGGGCGACCAGCAGGGACAGGCCCTGCCCGGCCGGGTGCTCCTGGCCCTCACTTCTGAGCCAATACGTGGTGATCCTGCCGTTCTGCGCCGCTGGCGGTGACCAGGACGCATTGATCTGCGTGGCACTGACGGCCCGGAGGCCTGGAGGTCGCACCCCCACTGGGGCAGCCTCGGGGGTGGTGGTGTGGGCCGGCTCGCTGGCCCCGCAGCCCCCGCTGGTGCAGGCGGTGACCGCGTAGCTGTAGGTGGAGAAGGGGAGCAGCTCCGCATCCGTGTAATTGAAAGTCACGGCGTCGAAGCGGAAAGGACGGGGCGCCCCGCTCCTGTGGAGCCGGTAGGACTGGACGACCCCGTTGGGCTGCTCCGGGGGGAGCCAGGCGATGAGCAGGGTCGGGGGACCCGCAGACACCAGGGTGATCGCAGGGGGAGAGAGACCTTCCGGGGCCGCCGGCCGGGTCCTCACCGCGGTCCACGGGCTGCAGGCGTGGCCGGCTGAATTCCACGCGTGGATTTTATACTCGCACGGCGTCCACGGCTGCAGGCCGGCGTCCCTGCAGGCAAACGCATCCCTGTCCGCCTTGTACTCCGTGCAGACAACGTCCGCATCTGTCCGGTTCCCCCCGAAGCACCTGCGGATCACTTCGTAGCGGGTGATCTTCCCGTTCGGGTGGACGGGCTCCGACCAGGTGAGCTCCACGCTGGTGGGGCCCACGGCAACCAATTGATGTGCTTCCCTCACATCGATGTTTCTCTCTGTCTCTCCCTCTCTCTTCCGTCCCTAGACAAAATCAATGGAAAAATATCCTTGGGTGAGAATTAGAGAGAGAGAGAGAGAGAGAGAGAGAGAGAGAGAGAGAGAGAGAAGCGGCGGAGGAGGAACCGGCGGCTCAGGCCCGCGTACTCCAGGCCGCCGTCGCTGAAGATGTTGTAGGTCTGCAGTGAGAAGAGACGCAGAGGGAGGGTGACGGGTGGCATTTGGTTTTTGGTGCGGCGACCTCGTCCCTTTAACCTGCCCCACTGCTAGTCCTCATCCGGAAAGAATGGTCTGATACTAACTTTTGGAATATGATGTAAAGTCCATAGAAAGAGAAGCAATGTTTTTCTTTGTTTTTTTTTAAAGGTTGGATATTCGATTAGCATATACTTACAAGCTATGGGCTGCAGAACATGAATCTTTGATTTAAATGAGTGCTTGTGGGGTTTCCTGCTATTTGTATTTTTTAAAAGGTAGGGACTAGCCTAGCCAGCATGGCTCAGTGGTTGAGCGCTGACCTATGAACCAGGAGGTCAAGGTTCAATTCCCCCTAGGGCACATGCCTGGGGTGTTGGCTCAATCCCTAGTAGGGGGCATGCAGGGGGCAGCCGATCAATGATTCTCTCTCATCATTGATGTTTTTCTCCCTCTCCCTTCCTCTCTGAAATCAATAAAAATATTTTATTTTTTAAAAGGAGGGAATAGCATTGAAATTCCCTCTCTTACAGGTACTAAGTGCCCTGGCTCATCCTGAGTAGGTTAAGTAGGTCCCATCCACATGCCCATCTCCCATGACATTTCCTGGGAAATGGAATTACAGTGCTTCAGCATTCGTACCGGGGCACCAGGGCTGTGTGTGTGTGTGTGTGTGTGTGTATGTGTGTGTAGGCACACACACATATACATTCATACATAAATTCAGATACCACTTTGGATGATGAGAAGCTGGAAATCGCCTCTGTATTAATTCTCTTACAGGCCATACAAGAATTGTTCTGTGGGAGAGAAGTATTTTGTTTTGGTTCTGAGGGGACACATCTGAACACTCCTCATACAAGCCCAGAGCACATTTCCATCCCATAGTACCCACTGCTCTTTGGGGAAAATGAGGCTGGTTCCATCTCTGAGGTGTTACCTGAATCACGCCATTGGCCCGCAAGGGCTCTGACCACCGCAGCAGCAAGGCCCGGCCGCCCGCCCTCTGCTCCACCGTGAAGTTGCTCAGTCCACTCGGGGAAGATTCCGGGGTCTGGATCACGGTCCAGGGGCTGGACACCTCTCCTGCCTCGTTGGCGGCCACAACACCAATGTGATACGTTGTGAAGGGTTCTAACCCGAACAGGTGGGCCTGATGGCTTGTTCCCTGTAAGAAAACGGACAGGTTAGTTTGCTCTTACAAACGGCTACGGACAGCTGGGAAGTCATTCAGTCAGACACATTGGTGATGGCAGACAAATACCACAGTAGAGGTTTGAATTATTAAGAAAACAAAGGGATGTTTTTCTTGTTCGGTTTTAAAAAAATATGTTTTTATTGATATTAGAGAGAGGGGAAGGGACAGGGAGAGAGAGATAGAAACATTGATAAGAGAGAAACAACACTGATCGGATGCCTCCTGCTAGGTCCCTTCTGGGGACTGAGCCTGCAACCCCGGGCACGTGCCTTGACTGGGAATCGAACCTGTGATCTCTTGGTTCCTGGGTTGATGCTTAACCACTGAGCCACACCAGCCACGTTTTTATCTTGTTCTTGACACCCTGGTTGTGTGATTTCAGACACATACAAAGTGTGGGTCAGAGAGGATCCTTGCCTTTTCAGAGGTTACAACCCATGGGATGTGACACAGAATCTAAAGAAAAAATTCTATGATGCCTTAGAGATCACCAGCTCACAATGGAATGTGTGGAGACTTAACCTGAACAACCTAATCCTCTCTCCCCAGCTCCCCAGCTGCTTGTTTATACAAACGACTGCCCACCTCCCCCATCTCCTTCTCTCATTCTTTTGGTGCGTCTTTATATCTCCCAATAAAGCCAACCCAAGAAAACGACAAGCCAACTGGACTATTAAATGCACAGGCCCGTACAGAAGTCTACCGTTAACACAAATGTGAAAATATCGGCATTTGTTAGCAACGCCATAACCGAAACTATGAAACGTACCCCGAGTAACTGTAAGCTAGGCTTTGAGAATTTGGACTTTGTTGACTTAAAATAAAATGAAAGAACGCAAGAATGAGTTTTTGTGTGTGTTCTGTTTCTGCTCGGAGAGCAATATTTAACGTATTTTGCATAACTTAACTGGAGCGTAGAATCTTAATGTTTTGAAAGAGCCAGAATGGTTTTTCTACATCTGGGCTGGATGGATATGTGTGTTTACAGATAGGAATTATGTCTGCAAGTGGACCAGTAATGTGTGTACACACACACAGACACACAAACACACACACACACGTGTGCACGCGCACACACACAAATACATACTTCCTGTCCTGTACTACACCCACTGGGGGCGAGTAACCCCAAGGAAGCTCTGACTGGTGTAATGGGATGTTTATACTTCATGGTGTGTGAGGTCACCTTGGTCTACTGGATGTTTAAATGCGACAACTGTCCTCTTTTCTTGGTGGGCATGGCAAGAGGGAGGTGAGATGGAGAAGAGGGAGTTATTTGAGAGTAGGTACCAGAAGGCATCAAAGTTTTGTGTATGGAAATTCTCTCTAATGGGGAGGCATCCAAATAGCATTATGATTAAAATCTAAAACAAGGTGGCAAAATCAAATGGAACCATTTTTTTTTAAAAAAATACACACTGGTAAACAAAACCAAAATATACCATCGAAATAACTTTTGACACCATTTCCTCACCTTCTTGGTTACAAGTTTCAACTGTGCTAATGTTTCTTCACAAGCAAAGAGAATATCATTTCTTTTCCTTATTAAAAACTAGTTAAGTCAATTTTCCTGTTTCCGTAAGTGCCATTATGGTATTTACATGCTAACCTCCTGAAATCTTTTAATATTTAAACGTTTGCTAAGCGACCAGGCTCTGAAACAAATTTTCCAGAAAGACTAATTTCTCTTTTTTAAAATATTAAAAGTTCGGCCCATAAATATTTAAAACTGATTTCTCCACAACATCGGATTGGTCTTTTAGATAAATACCGCACAGGGCTGGAATGGCCACAATGAATATTAAATCTGAGGATGCTACAAGTCCCGGTTACAAAACACTCTTTTCTGATAAACGATTCCTTTTTGGTGGAAATAGGGCAAACACGGGCAAGATTAATAATGCAGAAAAGGAAACTTCTTTGTTCAGAATATCCAGGACTCAGGGCCAGAAGCAGCATAGCTCTGAAGCAAATAGTAATCACCTCTCACAGATTACCTATAACACAGGTAGCCTGTCGGAGGGATGTTCAGAGAGAGCTTTTGTCCTCAGAAGCATGAAAAGCGTGTGGGTTATAAAGCAAAAAACATACGTATATTGTCAATAGTGGCACCTGCTCAATTACAGTTTATTTCTGAGCCGAGAATCCCATCCGACCCCTAGATGGCAATACTCGCAAACACTTCTGGTAGCACGAGTACTTGGTGATCAACACAGGCGTTCAGCCACACAACACACGCCAGGCAACCACTGCAGAAATGACACAACTGGTTTCCTTCTAGGCTCCTTTAACGCACACGGGTGTACAGCTCAGATCCCTGAGAGCAGGAGTATTTGGAACGCCCTGGCCTCCAACCTTCCTCGTCCGAGGTAGAAATTATGCCTGCAGACCTTAAGTGGAAGTTTGTGCCCGCCTGGCGCAGAAGGGGGTCACAACAGCTGTTTTGCTTAATTTGGTTACTTCTTTAAAAAAATGAAAGAAAAATGACCACACATTGGAAATGGAAAGGAGAATTTTGATGTCATAAGTTTAGACTGAGGACAGGTCCCATATGAAGTTAATGTGTTATTTCTGAAGAGCAATGCGAGTGCACACACACACACACACACACCTTGAATAAATCTCAAAAACAGCCTTGCTTTTTGTCAATGTTTTAGCAAAGGCCAGATGAAAATAAAATGAAAAGTTTAAAATAGCAAAACCACCCTTACCAATTTATTCTTTGACATTTTAGGAAATAATTTATATTATTTTCTCCTTGAGTAGATTTCCAACATCTAAGTTCACCATCTGAGATCCCTGCTGGAAAGTCTGGGCACAGTTCACTGTGGATGGGGCTGTGTCTTGTTTGTTCAGTTACATGTTATTTTTCTTACAATTGAGAAATTTGCTTGAGTGTTGCCAATCTTTCATGCTTTGGATTTAATTCCTTCCTTTGGAAACGGAGCATTCTGTAGCAATGACCTGCCAAAGTCATCATCAAAATCATTTGACTGCTTTTCTCTCTTCTTTATGTATTTACTTTTGTTGTTAATCCTCACCTGAGGATATTTTTTCCCTTTGCTTTTTAGAGAGAGTGGAAGCGAGAGAGTGAGGGAGAGAGGGAGAGAGAGCGAGAGAGAGAGAGAGAGAGAGAGAGATAAGGATTGATTGCCTCCTGCACATGCCCTGACCCGGGCCAGATCGGGCCTGCAACCCAGGTACATGCCTTTGACTGGGAATCTAACCCAGGCCCTCTGGTCCTCAGGCCATCGTTCTAACCACTGTTCTGCTGTTCTTTCTTCCCATATAGAGATTGTCTTAGTTTAATATGCATTCTTTGTCATCGTTTTGCTCGCTCTTCTCCCTCTCTCTTCTATCCTACTGATGGATGCTTTTGGTAGAAATAGATCTCTCTCGTCCTTCCTCCCTTCCTCCTAACCTCTGTCCCTCTCTCCCTCCCCCCACCTCCATGTTATCCCTGACCTGTAGGCTTCCCTTTTCTTTTTCCTCCTCATGTTCACGTTACACAATATTCATATTTTTTATTCTAGACGTGTATTACCTCATTCTGCTAGGCAGCAGATGAAAAGACTGACTCAACCAAGGAACATAGGAATAATCCTTTCTCCACAACCCAGTATTTCCAATCAGATGTGGCCCTTTTGTTCCCTTTTCAGCTCATATGCATAAGGGTCAGGGTCTGGAGACAAACGGGATCATCCTTTCATAAGGCACACAGACAGGACGCCCTGGACCACGCTGCCAGGCGCGGCTCTGCTGGCGATCAGAACCACACCCGGACCTCCCCACTCGGCTGCTGGGGGCACACAGCACCACTCGGCGCCTTCAGCAGGCTGACAATTTTACGCCACCTCCCCTGATTATTTTTGACGACTTGAAGTGCCCCGAAGGTGTCCACGGGGTCAATAGGTTTATGTAGGTTGAAAATGATCAAAAATTACCATTGATCCGTAGCTGTCAATAAAGGGCTGCGTGGGGAGACTTCCTGCACAAATGTTTAAACTGCATAAAGCAACCGAACTTAGTCATCTCTGAGGCTATCGATCTGATGAGCCAGCAGTTTGCAGGGCTCTCCCTCCGGTCTTCGTGGTGCGTGTTCACTGAGCCCGCTTACCGTGGCCCCCAGGCGTCTTCCCACCTGCTCCTCTCCTGCCCTGAACCCAAACAGTGATGCACGGGCCCTGATGTGCAACTCCGCCGAGCATCCTGGGTGCCTGCTACCCTGGCAAAGGGTTCCTCTTCCTGGTCACCAGCAACTTCCCGCATGTCAGCTTGATGGGGTTTCTTCTGTCTTTGCCCCTTTTCACTTGAAAATGACTCTTAAATCCTTCCCCTCCTTAGTTACAGTGAATGCCAATGTCCTCTTTTTCTGCACTGGGGGAACTTGAAAGGAATCTCGGTTTAAATATATTAACTTCTGTCTACTTTAGTGGAACGGCTTGGTTTTATCGTACGTCATTAACATACCTTGTCATTACAAAATAAAAGAATGGTTGTGGACGGGTTTCCAGTGTAGATTAAAAGTCAAGCATGAGAAGTAGGGAGCGATCTCCTTTACCATTACCTAAACATCATGCCTGGCGCAGAGTATGTCAAGTGCCCTGGCGAACTTATCTACATCTTCATCCTGACAAACCACAGAAAATATTCCTATGATTCATGAAAGCAATATCATCTGAAGCCTGGGTTCTATAGGGCTATCTGTCTTTCTAGTCATAAAGTTACTGTTTGAGTTCTCCAAGGGTTGGTCAACATTTGTGTATCATTTTTACTCATTTTGTAAAAATGAAATTCATCTTGATATAGAAGTGATCTCCTTATTACTCAAAGCCAAATATCAACCTTGAACCCTTATCTATGGTTACCTACATATGAGACCTCCAAGTCTGCAAAATGTTAACAGAAGCAGGAGGCATCCACTGATGTCACATGCACACTTATTTTAACACTAGAGGCCCAGTGCATGA